TAGCATCACTGCTCCCGCCCGTGGGGCCACTAGTGACTGAAACAAGGGTGACCGGCCGCAGCACCGAGCCTCCCCCACAGTCCACCTGCCCACAGGGCGGCCACGACGTGACGCACGGGCAGCAGCGTGCGTAGGGGAGGACTTCGCGAGACTTCACAACGAGACTTCACCACGTGAGACTTCATCACGCGAGAGCTCACCACGCGAGCTTTCATCGCACGCCCCAGACCAGCGCGCAGGTGGCCAGGTGCCTGCGTTCTTCCTGCGGTTTTTCCATTGAATATTTCGGATGCGAGGAGCTGCAGGTGAGCGTGGGCCTGTCGCAGGGCCCGGTTGTGGACCCGACCCGGGTTTGCCCCGGTCCCAGCTCGCATTGTTATGGGCGACTTCCTTTTCTTCCTCCCCCGTGCCTTTGCACGGCTGCTAGACGTTACCATCCATGGGACCGGGGAGACAACAGATGCTTATTCCCCGCTCTTCTGGTGGCTGGGAAGTCCGAGATCGAGGTGCCGGCTGATTGGGTTCTTGCCAAGGCCTTGCTGTGTCTTGCCCGCAAGCTCTCAGCCAGCCATCACCAGGGGTAAGGCCCAGTTATCTCCCAAAGCCCTTCTCCTCAAACACCATCACATTGGGGGTGAGGGTTTCAACAGTAAATGTTGGGGAGACACATTCAGTCCGCAACACCTGCCAGCTTGATGAAAGTATAGAATGTAAGGAAAACAATGGGTGTGAACCGTTTCTTTCTTTTCAGAACCCTAGGCTAGAAAGAATGACCAGTTTAAGAAAAGTGTTAACTTTTTTTCTCAGTCCTCTTAGGTGTAATGGTAAGATCTACAAGGTAAACTGTCTACTGAGGCCCACTAATAATTTTTGGAAAATAGGCCATTTGTTTTCTCATTGTATCACAAATCCGTTTACACTTAAACTTCCAATTTTCTCATTGGGAAGCTCGAAATCTGTTGAGGACAGAAGTTGTCTTTGGTGTAAGTGTGCCTGGGTTTTATTGTGTTCTAACGAATGTATATCATAAAAGACACCAGATAAGCAAGATCCTTAAAGTCAAGGGTTCCTCAGAAGGTTTAAAATTGTTACAATGTTTTAAGTTGTTTTCTTCGTCTATGGAGAAAGGTGTGGTTTTTGATCTCCCCTTCTCCATGCAACTGTTGACTATCGTCTCTAAATAGAGAACCTAATGTTCAAAGGTTTGGTGGGTATATTCCGATGTAACTTCATTTCACCCTCTGCCTCGCTTCCAGACATTAAATGCAACTAATTCATGGCTTAACTTATTTTTTTTTCCCCCTAATTGTTCCTTGGGCATGTTTACGTTGAGGCTATATGACATTCTCTAGAGAAGATATTGCCTTACGTCAGTTCAAACCTGTGGTATACAAGAGTAGAGTTTTTCATTTTTGCATACTTTTCTGTAAGAATATCACTTCTCGGGAAATTTGTACTTGTGGGTACAGTTTCCTTAGGTACAATCCCTCCGTGGTTGACCCTGGTTTTCTTTGGTCATTTAGATGTGGCTTTATTGTGCTTTTTGAATGATGCTTCCCACTTGTCAAGATCCTCAAATTCATTCAGGGGTTCTGCTTTAACATTTCCAAAATAATTGTATAGTTTTTGCAACATCTCGGAAAATGAGGGGGGAAGGGAGCCTCATAAAATGGTATGAGGTCATTTGTAATGTTGCGCTTATTTTAAAGGATTAAGGTTTGTTTGTAGCATCTTAGCATTTAGGGTTTGAGTTTCTTTTTCTGGGTCCATCTACCCGTGGAGGAGGGGTGTTGGGGCGGGGCCCGGAGTGCGGAGGCGGGGCCTTGAGCGGGAGGCGGGGCCTTGAGGGGGAGGCGTGACT